TGATCAGTAGCTCTGACTAGATGCCAGGAGGTCACATAAGACACAAGATGCTTTAAAGAGCTTCCTGTTGCAGAGAAAACCTTCTGCAAGGTTCAAAAATGACACTGCAGAGGAAATTTTTTTCCAACTTGCTGGGTTTCTGTAAATATATGAGTTACGTGATTATAAAACTTTATGATGGAAAATACCTTTAGAAAACAGGGCACCCAGAGGCGGGAACCGCAGAAGATGCTGTAATACATTTAATGCCCTAGTTAAATGTATCACCCCAGTCCCCTTTTCGGGAGCTGGATAAACAGAACATCTTTCTCTTTCTATTTGAAGCTTCCAGCCCCCGCCCTCCCCAGTGCACTTTAGTGCACGATAAATGGAAATCTTATTTCCTGCCTCGGCAGACCTATTTCCCTGAATGTCTGAGCTCACCTTGTCTTTCTCAGGGCTGCTCTTTCTCAGCTCGGCTTTGCTCTCATCTGCCTGCCTTCCCTGCCCTGGTTTTTTAAAGCCATCTCTAATCCTACCCTCCATGCTCTTCAGTTTGACAGTGTCAACTCCAGCTTTCTGCATGGCCACTTTTAACACTCATCTCCTAGGTTCAGTTTATCTTCCGCTGTGAATTGAAATCCTCATTCAAAGTCTTTACGAGTAGGGCGAACAAGTTAAAATAAAGAACCGTTATCAAAAGCCATTTCTGCTAATTTACACTGCTTTATTAGATGTCTTTATGCTCTTTGGTGAGTCCATTATCTTTGCACATACAGCTTTCACTCTGATACTTCTCCTATGTGCATATTTTAATTTTGATTTATTTTAAACACAGAAGACCTTATAAATGACCATTCATCCCTATGCCCTTCCTGATCTTTTATTTTTAGAATTCAGGAAATCAGTGATTTTGATATAGGAAGAGGTGTGTGTGTGTGTGTGTGTGTGTGTGTGTGTGTGTGTGTGTGGGTGAGAGAGAGAGAGAGAGAGAGAGAGAGAGAGAGAGAGAGAGAGAATGAATGAATGAATATCAGAGACTGTATATAGCCTACAGAGCCTAAGATACCATTAGGTCCTTACAGAAAAAGTGTGATTGCCCCTTATGTATTTAACTCATTTAGAATGTGGTTTTTTTTGGGGGGGGGGGCTCTCATTTTCCCTAGCATTCTTAAACAAATGGAGTAGTGTGTTGGAATCTGAGCTGGCTAGTTGGGAGAAGGCTCCAGCCACTCCCTCTGTTCCTCCCAGTTAATGCTGTTCCGGTTTCCTGTCTTGTGAGAGGTGTGATTGGATCAGGGGTTCTCTGAGGTGACCTCGAGCTGGAGTGATGTGATTCTCTGTGGTGTTGAAATATTCCATGGGAAGCACATGCCAGTGTTGGGAGGGGAGCCTGGCAAATCCTGGTCATTGATAACATGGCTTGCGCACCCTGGAGAGGATGCATTTGTCCTGCCCAGCCTGGGCCTTTCTCCTGTAGCAACAGGAAGGGTGATTGAAGTGTGCTTCCTATGACTTACTTGAAGTGAGGGATAAAGTAGGTTGTAGTTAAAACAACATCTACTCAAGGACCGATGAAATGTCCCAGTCATGCTGGTTGTTATAATGAACATCTTTAATTCTTCTTAAACCTCTTTAAGCATCTGCTGAGGAATTGTTGAATCAATCAGGGGCATAGCAAGCTTGGGGGGGGTCTCTGTGTAGTTTTGGTGCCTGTCCTGGATCTCACTCTTGTAGACCAGGCTGGTCTCGAACTCGCAGAGATCTGCCTGGCTCTACCTCCTGAGTGCTGGGATTAAAGGCATGTGCCACTGCCCAGCTATAGCAAGCTTTTTTGTTGGGACCACCAGCCTGCAAATAATGACATGGAGACTTCTTATTAATTATTAATTAACCTTAGCTTAGGCTTGTCCCACTAGCTCTCACAACTTAAACTAACCTGCTTTTATTAATCTACGTCTTACCATGTGGGTTTTTACCTTTCTTTCATTCTGTATGTCCGACCCCTTCCATGTCTCGCTGGCCTCTCTTCTGCACCTCCGTTATCTCCTCCTCCTTCCCCTCTCTGTCCCGGAAGTCCTATCTATACCTCCTTCCTTGCTATTGGCTGTTGAGCTCTTTACCAAACCAGTCACAGTACTATAACTTCACACAGTGTACAGATATCCCCCAACACAGGGGATTTCTGACGTCTGGTAGCTTGGAGCATGCCCCAGCATTTATGTATGTGCCCCTCCCAGAGTTCTGCCTCATAGGATGCTCTAAGCTTTCTTTGACCTTAACCTACTGCCCTGTGCTGTTAAAGTAAAGTTGTAGGGATGCTGCCCAGCCTCTGAGCTGCAGGATCTCCCACTTGGTGCCTCGTGCCTCCTGCTTACCCATAAAGCTGCTCTCTCCCTGCCTGCCTTGGGCCTTCCTAGTAAAAGGAAGCTAGGAGTTTAATCGTTTCTGAAAAACCAAACAGAGCAGCATGTTTGGGACAGATACTGTCAGGAGATGGCAAAGTCAAGTTGGAATAGAAGTCCCCCCTCCTCCAAGCCCCATCTCCGAGTCCCATTTTTATTGCAACCTACATAAAACCAAAGGGCTGGAGCCCAGCTGTTCCCGAGGCTGAGGGTCCTCATGGCTGTGGCATGCTTTGGAAGCCGTTTCTCACAGGCTTGCAGTTAATGAAAATATTTGCTTTGCTTGATACAAACAAAGTTTATGGGCAGAATTTGTGATTAGGAAATGCTTTAAATCTTCTGCCCTCCAGTCCCTAATTTCTCTCGTTCCGTGTTAGAGAATTCCAAGTGTCCGAGATAAACCTTTTCTCAGGAACAAGCTTAACTTGTAAAGTTTCTGGTGATGGTGTACGTCTTTCTCCATTTCTTTGTGTTCCCATCGAAATTAAGGGACTGGAAGTCTGGGTTTTCATGAGGAGGCTAGAAATCTTTCAGAGTGGGTAGGGAGACTGTTGCTTATGGCATGTCAGGCCAGCTCACTGCTGTTTACAGCCCAATCTGGGACTTGGGTAATACATGGGTACCCATGGTGCCATATAGCTCTCTTCAAGCACATGGAAAATCAACATTGACTGGTGTCCCGTGTCCTCTGTCACTGCGGGGGTGTAACCTCAACTTCTTGTATGTTCTTGTCTGTCTCCTGTTGTTACTTGCCTGGGCACCTGCAGATCAGGTCTACCGAGTGTTCTTGTAGGCACTGTACCTGCTTACAGAATGGTCGTGGGGTAAATGGTAGTGGGGACTGGTCATGGAACTAGTTAGCAGACAGAGAAAGTAATTGTCCTTCTGCTCTAAGTATACAGAGCCCTGTTGGGAGGTAGTGTTCTGGTTGTACCTTGGCTTTGCCTTCCATTGGCAGCCACAGAGATGGAAGTCTGGGTCCCTCATGCATTGGCTAATGATCTCAAGAGGTGGCATTTTCAAGAACCCAGGCTGCTTCTCTGGTATGTATGTAACATTGTAACTCTGGGAGGTATGTAGCATGGGTGTTTATGAAATCATGCTAAGCGGGTAGGGACCTCCACTGTTCATGCGGACAGTATAAAGGGCCTCTGCTAACCCGTGTTTACCCTCCTCCCTTAGGGGTAGAATGCCGTGGTACCTGCCGTGAGTGGTTTTGTAATTCCAGTGAGGGCTGTCTAGTCATTGTGCCTTTCCTCTTCTTCAAATGCAAATCATTTGGGCAGAGAGTGATAAATCATCATAGTTTCCCAAGTTTAGTGAAACCCTTCAAGTGTAGTTGGTGAGACTGAAGAGACCTTCCTGACTCCGCCAGTACCCACGGCTTTTCTGTTGACAGCTCTGTTGCTATTGAGTAGCTTGTGGAAGTGAGCCTTCAGCACGTCGCTGCATTCTGTGGCGGGCTTAACACTCCTTCCCCACGGCTCCTCATGTGGAAAACAATCACAGCAATACGACACGGACCATGATGGGTTGGGGGTCACATCCCTTTTTGGCCTTATGCACAAAGATCTGGAAAAAACGAGTGTCTGTCTGGCTATACAACTCACGGTTTTCATTTTTTTCTTTCTCTCCCCTCCCTCCTTCAAATGTAGTACTTTTTCTTTTTTAGCCAGGAGGTCATGACAAGGACTCGGAGAGTGTTTGTCAGACAGACTGGTTTTGCTTATGGAAAACTTGCATGTCTCCTCCTAATTCTCCTGTCTATAATTTAGAACTTGGAAGATGGTTTCTGATCTACAGGGTGATGACTCAAGTTTCTTTGCAGTCCCCACTTGCTTCTTGGTCTATACTGAGGGAATGTGACGAGGGGTGGAGCGGCAGAGTTGGGGAGGGTAGGAGCAAAGTGTATCATCCGAGGACGTGTGGACTGGCTACGCTTCTTCTTTCTCTAAGAGGCTCGCTCTTGCCAAGATCTGTATTCCTCGTACACTTTGTACACTTGTAATTGCATCCTCTATGTTTTTTGGAGGACCTGCTTCCTCTAGAAAGTTCTATTTCATAATGCTGTGCTAGTTTGTTCCTTTGGGGGCTTGCTCCTAAGAGGGTCTGCTCGGTGAATGAGCCCCGTGATGGTTTAGGCTTGGCTGGGCTTCAGAATGGTAGAGTAGACGGGATCAGAAAAGGGAAGTGGTTCCAGGGAGCACTGTGGAAGCAGTCTGGGTTCCACTGGCAGCCCCATATTGGAGGAAGCAGACTGCGAGCTCGAAGTCCGGAGAGCTCCCGGCTTTGGAATCTGTTCCACTGATACCCACAAAAGCCCAGTGACCTCCAATTGTAACTGCAGCTGAAATCAGAGTGTCTTGTGGCCCGTGACTTTCTGTAGTAGTTGAGTGGAACAGAATGAGCCTCCTGGCTGAGTTCATTGATGCTTCAGTGGTAAAGCTGGAGTTTCCCCTGTAGGCAATGGATTTCAAGAGTGATAAGGGAAATCATTTAAAAGAAATTTCATATTCTGGTATATGGGAATTGTATTCTAAGGATGTAGCTCTTGGGAATCAAACTTTCATCAACTTGTTGTGGATGGTTAACCTAGATGTCATCTCTCTACTCCAGGTGGTGACTTTGGTTCCGAGACGCCTGCCTTGTCCTCTGGTCACAGCGGTGACTCTCCTGTGAGTGGTCTTCCTACAGCAGAAGACACCTATCGTGTGAGCTTGGCCAAAGGGGTTTCGATGTCTCTTCCTTCTTCACCCTTGCTGCCTCGACAGTCTCACTTGACACAGTCAAGGTCGAACAAAAAATCCCCAGGTAAAGAAAAACATTCCCAGTATCTACATAAGCCAGATTGGCCCTTTAATATATACATTAAAAGAATGATGAGTGAGTGCCTGTAAGAAATCTGGGAGAGCCAGATTTCTGTGTATGTGTGGATAGATGCGTGTGTGAGTTCAGGTGCCCTCAGACCAGAAGTCTTTGGGCATTTCTGTCCACCTTTCTGTATAGTTCCACCTCCATATATAATGATAAACTACCCAGGATAGACTTTCATACAGATTCGAGATCTTGCTATAAGAACTCACGGTCACCATTGGCTTTGTCAATTTCTTCCTGGTGAGTGGAAGAACACTATCTCTTACAAGATGCCCCTAAAGTGATGGATGCAGGCACGTGTCAGAGACAACAGTCTGTTCACTGCTACCGAGCTCTGTGTATCGAACCTGTTTGCCTGCTGACACCATCCAGCGTTGAAGTTGAATTTCTGGGGAAGAGCCGGACTGTGACAGAGCTGGGGCCGTGGGCTGGGGGGCTGCTTGTCTGAGGCCTCGTGACTCCTTTCATCCTCACCCACGTCCTACCCTTCTCAGCTGATACCGAGAAGAAAAACAAGTGGTAGTTGGCCATGAGAGGCTGGGATTCAGATGTGAGGAAAAAGCCCTTCCCGCGCTCATCCCTGGGGTCCTCGCGGTTCTTTGATAGTCTTTTCAACTGACTGAATATTTACTTAGAAAAGGCAGGATGATTTGGGTCCCCATTGATCATGTGCCAATGAAAATTCTTCTCAATTACATGGGAACATATTCAGAGTTCATCTAGATTGTGCCCCGGGGCTACGAAATTAATTAGTTTCTGGTTTCCTAAATATTTGTGTTACTTGAAATGGCATATGCATTATTTCTGAGTCATCTAGTCGGTGTTTGAGATTTATGTATGGTAAAATTTAAGAGGGGAAACCCTGAGGCATTATATGCTAGGAATGGTGGTGTGAATTTGGTGAGTGTCCAGAATCTTCCATTGTTCCAGAACTTTCTTATTTTGGACAGCATTGTTTACAGTTCAGTCATTAGCTGGAACTTGGGAACTTTTTTTTTTTTTTTTTTTTTTTTTTTGGTATGAAGTGATTTCCTGTGCCAAGGAATTTGACCTGTTTATCAGTATTCAGGGAAATTCCTGGAATGTCCTTTGCTTGCCTCACTGCTCTATCTGTGTGTCACATGTCTTTTCTTCCTTCAAATCATGGTTCCCACAGGGCCTCTCTTGCTAGGTCACCCCGGTTGGAATGACTGTTCTGACGAATCGTGAACATCTTCTTTAACTCGGCTGTGTTAACTTGTCTTTTCACCCAGGGCTAGTGAGTTTATCAACAGAAATTTTTTGCTTTGCCAGATTTCAGACTCATCAACCTTCCTTCTCCCAGGGCTATGTGGGCCGGCCACCTTGTAAAATCCAGATTCAGCCAAGAAACCTGTTCTGTCAGTTTAACAAGGAAGCCCCGCCCCCGCCCCCAGCTCTGCTCCTGTTCCTCCTCTGCCACCAACCCCCAGGTGACACCTGATCATCCTGGCCCGACTTCAGCAAGAATCCTGTTAGCTCGATTCAGCCAGAGTCCCCTCCTCTTCCTGATGTTCCTCTGCAGTTTCATGTCCTCCGACCTTCACCCTGTACCTCGGCTGTACACCCCCACTCGGCTGTACACGCCCACTCGGCTGTGCACGCCCACTCGGCTGTACACGCCCACTCGGCTGTACACGCCCACTCGGCTGTACACCCCCACTCGGCTGTGCGACTTTCAGAGTTGAGCCTGGTCTTTCCTTGGCTGAAAAATTCTACTGCAGTGGTCCAGCACCCACTCCTGGATTAAGTGTGCCTTCCGACTCTTCCACAAGTATCACTGAATAGTGCTTTTCCTTTTTCTTTCTTTCTTCTTTTTTTTTTTTTTTTTGGTTTTTTGAGACAGGGTTTCTTTGTGTAGCTTTGCGCCGTTCCTGGAACTCACTTGGTAGTCCAGGCTGGCCTCAAACTCACAGAGATCCGCCTGGCTCTGCCTCCCAAGTGCTGGGTTTAAAGGCGTGTGTCACCACCGCCCGGCTTATAGTGCTTTTTCTTAAACATTGTGCACTTCATGTAACTGATGCGTTAGGGCGAACACAATGTCTTAGCTGAGTATGCCATACATGGAAAACAGGGATAATTTGGGGCCTGGATATGCTGAACTGTGTTCATCTCTACCAAGCAGTTGCTCAGACAATGAATTGCTATTGCTTTTGCCCCAGGGCTGGGGATCGCCTGAGACTCTAGGGAATAGGACATTTCAGACATAGTTCAGACATTACTGATGGCAATGTCAGTGTCTGTTTGGTGGGACTTTCTGTAGCATTGGCAGGCAAGCCTGGGCAGTGTGATTGTCCTGAAGAGTGCCAAGAGGATTGTCTTCATATGGACAGAGAAAAGAGAAACCCTGACCACTTTGTCCCATGTTCCTGGGCCAATATCAGATAGTTTTAGCTTTGAGAAAACATCCTGAAGTTTTTTTCTGTTATAAAAATGAAATTTATCTTTTAAGTTCTTTGGTTGGTCTTATGGACAGAAGGATGTAGCCGGACACCTGAATATTTAGTCTTTTAATGGATTCGAGAAAATGCCTTCCATTTTTAGATGCTTTTGTTCAGCTGAGCAGATCCCCACCAGCAGAACTGCTCCTGTGTGCTGCCTAAGTCCACGTAGCAAATTCGTGTCTCCCGGTGCTGATGTGGCATCATTATCCCAGTGATTTTACCTGAAAAAATTGAAGGCAGAGATGACCGCTTAAGAATGGCCGCAGCTCACCAGACATAAAATCATATTTTCATAGATCCTAACACACATTTCTACTTAGAGCGTATTATTGGAAAAATATCCTGAGTGCTAATGTCTTACCTGCTTTTTTTTTTAATTTTTAAAAAAGGTTGACATATGGCAGTGAACATACACTGGCTTTAAAAATATCCATCTATTTTAAAACTAGCACCGTTGCTATTAAGGATACAGTAAGTACAGTGTATCCGCAGTTCTCGGAAGATAATGAGCCAGTCCATCCTCGGGGTACCCATCTTTTCTCCCCCGTGGCCTGTGCTGCCCTGACTCATTCAGGCCCAGCTTTCAAATCACCTTGCTGACTTTTGTTACAATTTGTCATGTTTATCAAGTTGCTTTTAAAAGATACCAAACCTTGGAATCAAGAGTTCGTGGCCAGCCTGGCTACACATAGCAAGATCTTGTCTCCACAAACAAAAAACCCTCAGAAGCTCCCCTAAATCACCACACAGTTTTACTTGCTTGTGTAGAAACACTTCACTGCTTGATGTTCATCAAACTTTAGGCAGTCAAAACACATGGTTGTACATTTTGCTTGGAAGGAGGAATGGCCAGATAACACAATTCTTTACTGATTTGTGGGCTGTGGCTCATGTATTGGCTGGATGGTGAAGAACTTGGAAAGAGCATGATTGTAAAATTGGTAAGAAAGGCATTCAAGGAATATGGTGGTTTGAATGAAAATGGCCCCCGTAGGCTCATAGATTCTAATGGTTGGTCGCCAGTTGTTGTAACTGTTTGGAGAGGATTAGGAGGTGTGGCCTTGTTGGAGGAGGTGTGTCACTGAGGATGAGCTTTGAGGTTTCAAAAGCTCACACCATTCCCCATTTGCTCTCCCTACTTCCTGTTTGTTGATAAGCATGTGAGCTTTCAGCTGCTTCTCCAGTGCCCATCGGCTGCCATGCTTCCGACATTACGGTTATAACCCTCTGCACCTGTGAGTCCCAAATTTTAAACACTTTCTTTTATTAGTTGACTTAGTCACAGTGTTTTGTCACAGCAGTTGAAAAGTAAGACAAAGATGAGGTATGTTCAGTAATCTGGTAGATAAGATGGCTGTTCTGTGGACAGTCGGCCTCTTTTCCTGGCCATCTCTCCTTGCCCGGTGGGCCCACGAACAGAATGGTCATGGTGGTGGAGATGAAAATCATGCGTGGACTCGACATGTGCTTCCACTCACTAAGGCTGACCTGGCTCCAGCTGCTGCTGGGTGCCACCTTTGCCAGCAGCAGGGACCAGCGCTGAGGCCCAGGTTTGTCACCATTCCCTGGGGAATGGCCGTGGATTAGCCACATTGGACCACTTCCTCTGTGGAAAGGGCCATGCTTTGTCCTTACTGGAATACATACTTTAAAAAACAAAGAAGAAACTGTCAGAGACTAGAAAGAACTCTTATTTCATCCTGAGTCCACTTCCCTGTAATGAGACACCTTGAACAACACAACTTACATTAGTGAAAATGTGGATTAATACTATAGGTGACTACCTAGATCCTGGGAACTGTGGGCAAGAGATAATGTCACTGCAGCCAGGTTGGGTGGCTCATGCCACATGTGGAAGGCAGAGACAGGAGGACCGACACAGAAATTCAAAGCCAGCTTGGTCTCCATAAAGTTCCAGGCCAGCCAAGGCTACAGCGCAACATTCTATCCCAAACAAACAAACAAACAAACAAACAAACAGAGATGTCTTTCACCTTGTGTTAATGTGAACTTTGTATAGTTGAGTTATTCATTTTTATCACTTATTTTTGGAAGTACTGAGATTGAACTCATGGACTCTTCCATGCTGGGCAAGTGTTCTGCCACTGAGCTATATGTGCAGCCCCCACTTTGTATTCCGTTATTCACATTTACCCTTCTGCCACCGTCCTCTGTTTATTTGTATTTTATTCCACTGCCTGCTAGAACATTCCATTTTCTGGGTATGGTTTCACTTTTTGATGTTCTTCTAACTGGAAGATCCATTTTATGATAACCACAAACAAGGATCGACGCCCAGTAAGATACTTCTGTGGTTGTTGTGAGCCTTGTGGGACTAGGAATTCACCAGTATCTCTACTGTATCCTCCATCTTTCAGAAATGAGAAAACGCCGTTTCCTGTGGCTTCTTCTTAGTAATGTCATTAGCTCTTTCCTGTCTGCAGGCTCTCCCCCAGATCACTTTGGTTCCCTTGT